GTGTGTGTGTGTGTGTGTGTGTGTGTGTGTGTGTGTGTGTGTGTGTGACATCATGTACAGCACACAGTGGCGTCATGTCTGACCTGTGTCTTGGCCCACAGAGGGTGTGAGGAGACTGTTCTCAGGAGCCACCATGGCCGCCAGCAGAGGAGCGATGGTCACTGTGGGTCAGGCAAGTCACCGATGTTCAAAGGGCAACTTTACGACATCCTTTCCAATGCCTGCAGGTTTTAAAAAGACCTCAAGGACTCTGAGTCTGTTCCTTTACTATTGTATTGTACTTTATTCTACACAATCAGTTTAGATTCTCCTCAATACATTAAGAAGATATTAATCATGTGAAACGATATGTCAAAGTCTTTTTAATAAGATAATGTTAAATCAATGGTACATTAATGAATCAATGCTGAATCAATTTCCTAGATGATTATGCTGCTTGTTCAGATGGTTCCATTCAAGCGATGCATTATGCATTAATCCGTATAACCTCACTTAACTTCGTAAAGTCTGTGTTGGCAAGCATATCCACAGGACGCTTACTTCAGACTGTAGCACGGATACAACTGTTCACATCCAATTAGTTCAAAAACGTCAACGTACTGTATTCATATGGATTAACTGTGTACCACACAATAAGGTACAACATAGAACACATTGCATGTTGGAACACTGAGCATGCTCTAAAATATTACGAAGGCTGCCTACAAACTGTTTTGATAGAACTGTAAAACAAAAACATGTCAGCCGTCTCCTGATTGTTTCATATGTTATAGTAGTTTCTTCTTTAATGTAGTTAAAATGCCATCGTTCCAGCCCGTGACTGTTGCTTCCAAAAGCCATGAGTGAAAGTGAAGGATTGTGGGTATTTGTTAATGACTGGTGGGCTGGTAATTTAATTCAGTCGGAGCTTATCCCGTGTGTAACGGGGAGGCCAGTTGTGTGCTTTACCTGCAGTGGCTCGTTACTCACAGCTATGTGGAAGTCGAGCTGTATTTAGAAAGATGGGGCTTCAGTCAGCTTCAGGTAGTAAAGAGAAACACCAGCACAGATTAGATTGATTATCAGAATGACACAAACCTTTCCTCCTCTTACTTTGTATTTAGTTGGCGTGTTATGACCAGGCCAAGCAGCTCGTGCTGGGAACAGGCATGATGGGAGATAACATACTCACGCACTTTGTTTCCAGCTCCATCGCTGTGAGTATCGGGTTTTATTTGTGTGCCTTGGAAGCCTCATCGAGTCCGTTCTGTGATCTGATGACTTGTTCCTCTGCAGGGAGGCTGTGCTACATTCTTGTGTCAACCTCTGGATGTCCTAAAGACGAGGCTGATGAGCTCAAAGGGAGAGTACACTGTGAGTGGACCCCTCCCATCACTGTCCCCTCTAATCCTTTCATTAGTCTGTTTCTGTTTGTCCATCCTCTTCATTCCTCAGGCGCTGCTTCTAATCCAGTGTGTCTCTCTCTTTAGGGGGTGACGCATTGCTTAAGAGAAACTGCCAAGCTTGGTCCTCTGGCATTTTACAAGGTACAACAACAGCACACTATAAATGGAATGTGCTCAAACTTTGAAAGCTGTATAGCAACCAGTATGTAGCACTTTGAGCAGCTTACATACAATGGTTAAGTTTGGATGCTAAATGGTGTGGTCCTTTTTTTGCTTGTAAGCTACAGTTACCAACGCAAATTAGTTTACGCTGTCCCACAACGACTCTGCTAGTTCAGCTGTCAATCAAACGCACATACAGACCTGCCCACTCGGAGGCATGAAGGAGCATTTCTGATGTAACTTTAAACAATGAAAAAGCATTAAACCGAAGATTCGCCACATTTTATGTGGATGTCCAGTCAGTCTTGATGGTAAATGTAGTCGATGAAGCAATGAATTCCTCATTGTGTGCCGAGGGGGCGCCGTGCTCTAGAGGCCGCTCAATAACAGAACTTCCTTGTTCTCTTGATGTGATGGTGATCTAATGCATATTTTTGGTTGCAGGGTCTCGTCCCCGCAGGGATCCGCTTGATTCCTCACACGGTGCTCACCTTCATCTTCCTCGAGCAGCTCAAGAAAAACTTCGGCATTCGCATCATCTCCTGAGCACGCTCTGTGACAAGCCGCTCTTCAACCCCCCCCCCCACCGACAACACCCTGTCAGCGCTCTGCTTTTGGCATTAACAAGAAAAGAAAGGAGTCGTGCACAGTTTATTTTGGACTCGTGCATGTTTTTCGTCTCCTTTTTGCTCTACCGCTATCTCACAGCTAGCAATGGCTTTGATTATTATGAGCACCAACTTCTAGAAAGAACTAATGCTAATGATGTCCCTCTGTCAGCTTGGATTATCAATATGTTAAGAAAGGGCGAGCTAAATATGAAGGTGCTTCAAATGGGGTTATTAGAGTGACCTGCCGGATTTAGAGAGAAGATTTAAATTAGCTCTGGCAGGTGTTTAACGTAGTTGTCCCCATGTAGGTGGGGTTAGTTGGACATATTGAGATAAAGTATTTATTTTAACTAATTCCAAATCAGATGTAGTGATTTATGTTTTATTTCTCGATACTTACGCCCAGTTCATCAGCGGTGAACAGCGCCTTCAGGGCTCAACAGTTGTGGCTTAAAAAGTTAGTGTCACGAATGTGTTTCCTATTAGTCCTCTGCAACACCTCACTGGTGTCGTATAAGACCGGGACAGAGTCTGTGATACAGCAGAAGTAGAAAATGCAAACAAACACAGTTTAGCCTTATCATCAGTGCCATCTTTTACAATCTATTCTATTTCCCAAACAGCCATTACTAAAACATGATTGATTTACATAGTAATCATTCCCAACAGTTGTGACCCTGTGTGATGCACCCTGAATTAAATGGTTCATTTGTTTGCTTTTTCTTCACAAAATGAATATTTTATAACTGGAAATCAATTACTAGCAGGTTCAAAATGTTACCTTTGACCCAATACTTCATTCCGATTCTTCTTTAATCGTTTCACGCTTAAATCTTTTGGAGAAGAGGACCAAGTTTCTGTTGTATTGTTTTTAAGTGAGGAGGGAGTTTGTGGGGAAACTGTGAAGCAGAAAGAGCAGACTGGTGAAGGTAGATTTGGTAGTGTCTCCTTTAGTGTTCCAGTGAAATTCTATATGACCACTTTAACTCCTAAAGGTTCTGACTGTATGACTGGAGATGTCTGTAGAGGACATTTTATAAGGCACTTTATCAAAAACCCTGGACTCACGCTGACTAGACCCGCTGCATACTGTAACACGCTCTAAAAGTAATAAAGAGATCAGATGTTTTGAGTTTAATTTTAATGGTTCCAATAGAGGCCAATCTGTAATGTTTTTGACATGTTGCGTGCCAGTTATTGTCTCAGTGATGTACTGCCTTCTCTGTGCTGTGCCTGCTCTTTTGACGGAGACTTTGTCAAGTCATGGTGCCTTACAGTGTGTGTCCTCCAGGGGGCGGTATGTGCCCACATCAACAATTGGGCATCATGTGAAGCCCCACACCTTCATCCAAGGGTTTTTAAACCACAAGCTCAGAGCGACCTAAATAATGTGAACCTGCATGTTCTTATGCTCACGCATCTTAACACGGTGAGGTACTGTAGATCAGCCATAGTGACTAATGTTAACCCCAGCTTTAATCATAATGCACAGACATTTAACTGGAGGGACCCACAGTTCTGGGTGTTGTGAATTTATATTTTGTAGATTACCAATTGTTGATTTTGGAATTAAAATACTGATCAATAATGTGTTTTTGTGTTGTTTCATCATCTACTTTGGTAAAACAATAAGCCAGGCTGTATACTTTTATTTTGGTTGCAAATCACTCCACGTTTATAATTTGATAAAACAGCTGCAGGCCTTGTGATCAGTGTTCAATCCATGTAATAAAAGCAAAAAAAGTTATCTTTGTGTTTTCTGTTGCCACAAGCTCAAATGATGTTCCGACTGAAGCGTTACCCTCTGGGATCTGCCCTCATCAGAACAAAGACTGACTTTAAATGTAGCTCCACTGGTCTTCCTCACCACCCCACAGATCTATGATCAGTTCTTATTTTGCAGAGTTGAGGCCTCCCAGCCTGCACCATGTGACGGGACCATCCAGGTTAAGAGGTCCAGCTGTGATGATGAGCGGCGGCAGTGTGGCTCTGTTCCTCCACCTAGATGAACATTGCTTTATTACTACTATCCATCACATGCAAAGCGTTAATGACTGAGCACTCAAATCTACCATCACATACATGTATGGGAATTTATCAGCCGTATGGCTCTCTGCATGGACAGCCATGCTGCCAGAGTGTGCAGTGATGAGGAGAATGGGGCTATGGGCCTACGTAGTGATGTTCTCATTTCAGAAATGTGCCTTGATTTTTGGAGGAACCATCATCCTATTTACCACTTTAACAATCAAGCAAGTCGGGTTTCATGAGCTGAGATCAGAATCATTACACATGCAAGAAAGAAGAAGTAAAGATTGCAAGTTTGAGTTTTCTGGTTCAGTTCAGTCTGAAAACAAACCAAGAACAAACATGTTGTACAGGACAATACATTTAAAGATTCAGGGTGATTCACCGCTGAAACAAATGTCTCAGATTTCTTCCTTTCAGGACCACAACTGAGAACATTTTGGCCGAAGACAGAGAATTCTTTACAGCGATTTTCTTGACAATGGATATTTATTTTTTCAGTAAATTCAAAATAAACATTTCTGTTTTCTGACTTGACAACTATGTACAATTTGTTGCTGCTTTTCTATGAATGCAAGCGCCTGACACAAATGTGTCCCTTAGGGATAACAAAATACCATCGAATCATACAACAGAGAAATAGTGCAGCAGCTTCAATTTTAATATTAAAGAGGCATATTTTGTTAAATGAGAAGCAAGCACACAGGGTACATACAAATGAATAGGTCGAATTCAAAGAGGGTTAGATTGAGCTGCCTCTCACTTCGTTCAGGTGAAGGCTATGTTGTAACTAATTTGTGCAATTTGCACTTGGCAGGTTTCAGAAAAAAATACTTTTTGACTTTAATTAAGTCGAGTTCAAAAGGCAAAGAAAAACATTCGACTTCGTGATTTTGCATTTGTCGTCTCTGCTACATGTTGTGCCTAAAAAGGGAGATGACATCTCCAAATGTTCTCTAACATCACCCTTCACCCTTCTACCAACAAGACTCTGAGAAAGACTGAAAGAAACTGTTTGAGTTCCAACAAAGGACCTGAACACTGGATCTGGATTCATTTTGTTGAAAAGCAAAGCTAAGAACCCACTTTGCTTAATGGAGGTACAAGGTCTCCTCAAGATTCTTATTTCTGCATGTTGAGTGAGTGTAAAAATGTGAAATGAGAGCAGGTTAATCATTATCAGTAATGGAATATATAATTCAAAACTATGAATTAGAATTAGTCGACAGTAGCCCAGAAAGGACAAACTAAACACTAGCTCCAGAGAGAGCTTTAAACATGTTTTTACGTTACCTGAAGGCCACCAGAGATCTCCGACCCTCTTGTGAAACAGCTTGTTATTATTGTGGTAAGGATGGACTTTAGCGTTACCACAGTTTTGCACTCAACAGCTGACGTCACCACGGTCTTGGGGAGTGAAGAGTGAGCAAAAGGGTTTGAAGTTGATTGCAATCTGCAACCATTTAGCTAGATGGCACCAAATGCTACACACTGTCCCTTAAAGTTCAATGGGAATTGATTTTTCCCAGTCTTTCCCCACTTTCCTGTGTCTGTCTGCCCATCCATCTTCCTCTGCGTTGTCTGTGAGTATGGCTTCCCTTAATCAGCTAGCGGCTCTTCTTTCACTTACCTGTGTTTCATCAGTTAGTCGCTTCGCCCAGCCAGCACACCTGGCTTCCATCAGCCTCATCAACCCCAGTGTATAAACTTTGGCTCGTCAGCCACTCTCTGCCAGTTTGTTGACGGCCCTCATTGGAAGTAGTCTGCGGCGACGTTTGTGATATAAGCCCCGTGTTTATTCGCCTTGCTTCTAACGGTCCTCTCTGTGTCTCATCGCTCGCTTACCTGTGTCATCGCTCACACCATGAAGCCTGCAAATCTAAACTCATCAACACCACGTCATCCTACCCCGCCATATTCCCAGCCTCACTCCTTCAACGCCAGCTTCTTCGGATTCTTCCTCCTTATTCCCAAATCCCCTCTACTTGAATTTACAATTCAACTATTTAAACCTTTCCCCTCGTGTCCTTGTGTCTGCGCCTAGGTTCCCCTTGAGTTTATAACCTAACCCCTCACCTTTAGCATAAAATCTATTTAAAAAATTAACCAAATTATACCAAATATGCTTGTCAGAAATGAAGCATAGCATCATTAGTTCAGGAAGAGCACGGACGTCATTCTTGTATTGGCTAATCGGCACCAGCTGTTTCCAATAAACTTCACAATCACTGATAGAAATTAAAGCTTTTACTCTCTTTACTCAAGTTTCTTTGAGTCACTCACCAAAGAGAGTTGGGCTTTCAAGTCACTTTAGTCACAGAGTCAGTAAACCAGAGACAGACAGCAGTAACAAACGAGACGGACCAACACAGACTCCAGCAGTAAACCATGACTGTGGCATGGAACTTGTTGGTGAATGAGTGACCGAGTCAGACCTTCAGCTCAGGGCAGGGGTCGGGCTTGCCTTTGTATATTTATACACACATATTTGAATGGCACCTGTTTCATTGTGTTTCACAGCTAAAATATCCGACATCAAGTTGGTGTTTAGTGTCGCTCAAAATGTGACATCCAACAGGGGGTGTATCAGAGGTATATATTGTAAGAAAAGAGTGAGACATGCCAGAGGGCAGTGTGCAACTGAGTTGTTTCTTTCTCTCAAGCACACAAACCAAAACACATATTTCACCTCATGTTCTCTCGACTTCATCACAACCAATAAGACTGATGCCTCTGCCAAAAAACTGTGTGATGAATTGGGTGTACAACAGGGAGGAAAGTCTCTCTCTGACACGCTCGCATTGCATTTCTGCTGGGAGGAATATGTGAGTGATCATAACTCACCCTCTGACTGTGGGACAAACAGGGGGGAGCTGCAGATGTTTGCCTGTGCTGAGTGTGTCTTGTGTGTGTGTGTGTGTGTGTGTGTATGCGTGAATCACAATAGGTTCTCCTCTGATCAGCGTTGTTGGGATGGATATCAGGCTTTGTGGTTTATCACCCGGGGGATAATCCCTCTTGACCCGCAGCCTCACACTGATCGCTCTCCTGTCACCAAACCAATAACAACTGACAAGGGGCTGAGAGATAAATAGTCTGTTGTAATAACCTACTTTCTCCTCTGTAACACAGAGTGTGTGTGTGTGTGTGATTATGGTGAATTAGTGTGTTGTAGGTGTGGGTAAGTGTCAGAAGGATTAGAGGGATTGGGGCGAAAGGACGAATAAAGCGTATCTCTTTGTGGGCAGGTCCTACATACGTGTGTGCACGAACATGTCTCCATGTGAAAGGATATCTAGGCCTGATCTATGAGTGCAAGCTGACTTTAATTAGGTTTTCATCTTAAGCGTAATTGAAGTGGTGTTTGTCTGTGAAACCTCCATCAATAACTTGATGCTGAACGTTGTTTCTCAACTTTTCACTCACATTTTCTTTGTCTTTTTACATTTTCCACTCCTGGTTCGTGATAATCTTATTGTCAGTGTGACAACGAAGTGACATGTGTTTGAGGAAATGTGGACTTGCAGATTGTTGCCACGTTGTCTCACAGGGCTTTAGAGCAACACAGGAAAGGGCTATTATAAAACCATATTTCTCAGAAATGTGAGGCGGGGGGGAAAATGTACACCAGCTGGAAAAAAAGGCAACAACAGATCATTTGCATATATGCATCTAATGATTCCCATTCATGCCTGTTTTGTTTCAGATTCAGTTGCTTTACATTCAGGGCAAAATAATTAGTTGGAACCGCGTTAAACTGCCTAGCAACAGCCTGAAACGATGGTTTAAAAACATCCCCAAAAGGAGGCCTGAGGCATTCTTTTTTTCTAGTTTTACTCAGGAATATTTATCTATACATCCAGACAAGGGTTCTGCAGACCACAGTTGCCTTTGAAACATATTTTTCCGTTGCTCGCCTGCACATGGCACATCCTGCAGCAGCACATACATCTGTGCTCCGAACATGTGCAGCCTCAATGGGCCCCCTACACCTTTTTACTACATCCTTTATCACGCATGTATAAATAACAGAACCAACAAGTAAACACATGCATCTGTAATGGTCATTACGGTATTTATTATTTATCAGTAATAAAGTGTTAATAACACATTTAGGTCTGCAGAACCTGAAATCTCTGCATATGTCAGCCCTGTGTTCTCGACAACCTGTAACTAATGTGGGACATTTTCATGTTTTCTTACGTCTTCGTTACCCTGAGCATAAGACAAAGGTGGAAAGCCGTCTGGCTGCTTCACTGGGGGAGGATTACTGTATTTCTTAATAACACTGGAATGTGACTTCACTGCAATCATGCTTTGTTTGCAGAATTAAGTTCATTTAGTAACTTTATTAAATCAGGTAATCTAATTGGGATTGAGCACTTTTCCAAGAGAGACCTGAGAACAACCGACATTTGTGCTCAAACAACCACAAAACCAGCAGACGAGAAGAACAAGTTTAAAGCCAGACAACCATCAATCAAGCAACAGAAAGGATGAATGAAAACCATTGCAAGCAGCATGAAAAACATCAAGACGTCAATGCAAATTAAAAAATAAAGTTTCAGGGCAGTTCGTGGTTTATTCAATTTAAAAGGTGCACGGTACCTGAAACTCGATCGTCCAAGGTTAGTATTAGCTAAATGGAGAAGTTAAAGGAGTGTGTATCGTAGTTCACGAACCCTTTTCTTTGTCTGCCTGACTCCACGCTCATCCCGCTCTCCTCGTAGATCTGAAATAAGAAACAATGTGTGTTCACTGCTCAACAGACAAAAAGACATCTATGCACAGTCACAAACTGAACTGTATTTCAAGATTCCCAGTTTTGGATGAACAGAGAGGTTATCAAGATTGATCAGAAGTTATTCATTCATTTGTAGGCACCTACAATAATGATCTCAGAGTTATTGACATTCAGTCGGAGAGAGTTTGGGGACATATAGCATGCAATAAACAGCAAGCAACTCTGGGTTTATTGATATAAAATGGGTTTTATATCAATGTCACTAACAGGGAGTAACAAAATACATCAATGGAGAACAATACAAAGCATTTTGCTGTGCTTGATCGTATCAGTCTGAGGAAGGAGAGACATCATGGTGAGGCTAATAACCATCGGGGCGGATATAATGTTTCCTATTTTTCTGCTGTAATGGACCAGAAATCCTTTACAATGTGAAGATTAACACTGTTACTGGATGGTAGAGTGTACATCACTACAGCAATGCACACTCATATTCTTTCATTAAGGGTTTTGGGAATATCCCACTGTAGAAAACTCTTAAGAGTTTTGAAACCATTTTCAGAGAAAAATGTCAAAAATCTATTCGTATTTGTCATAGTTTCCATCAACTTGCTGTTTATCATTTTCAAAAAGTTGTAATTGAAGAGACAGTACTGGGACTTTGACTAAGATACAAGTTGTTTTTTTTATTTTTACATACGCACACACACACACACACACACACACACACACACACACACACACACACATTCACAGAATAAGAGAGACAGAAATTAAAGGAGGTTTCGTCACAATTGGTGAGGGAAATTAAAATCGAATGGAACAGATGTCATCAAAGAGTCTTATTATTAAGAAGATCTGCAGTTGCCATCTGCACAATGTTTACAAATTAATTGCCCAGATACATCTTTATGAATTCAAAGCATCACTGCCAAATTCACATCAGCGCTTTCAGTCGATTCCCAGCAGGAGGAGAGGAAGATGGCTGAGAGTTTTCCAGTGACCACTTTAATGATGAGCAACAATTGATAGAAATTTAAGGAAAACGTTACTTTTCATCATGTGAAGCAGCTCTGACGTTAGTGGGCCTTTTCTTTTTCACTTCATTCAGGCTTATTAAATACATCCATTATACTTAAAAATGTGTTGTATAATAATGTGTTACACAACAGGCTTTTTAACCTTTAAAATATCTAAACTATGTGTGTGTGTGTGTGTGTGTGTGTGTGTGTGTGTGTGTGTGTGAGACAGAGAGTAAATCAATTCTTTGTTCATTCAACAAAATACTGTCAGTTGATGCTTTAAGCTTCCAACTCTCTCTGAACCTTATGATTTCACATCTTAAATCACAATCGCAGTTTGTAGAGTTATTAGAATTAATTGTGTAAATTGACTCCACAAACATGCACGTGTTTGTGTGTGTTTGAGTGTTTGTACGTGTAACTGATGGAGGACAGCCTCGCTGTTTCAGAATGATGATGATAATGCTGTTTTTCTTTCCTTTAAAAAAAAAAAAGGCTTTTATGATGTTATTTTCATTAAACTCGGACCCTCTTCATGTCTGATTCGGGTTTCCCCCAAAATAAGATAAAGTTTAACAAATAAAATTGTGAAATACCATGAGACACTTTTACAGTCGGACAGGTTTTAGATGATACACCACGTTTAACATCAGTATCAGAGACGAAGGTTATTATCATGCATTGCTTATGAAACCTGTGTGTTTTCACAAATAATAGAAAATAGAACCCTGACCCTGAATGAAATCGCTCTGAGCAACGGTGAATCACATCTTCTTGCTTTTAATGCAGAACAGAATGGAGATTCCTAGGGGATGGGGATGCTTGTTCAGTAAATATTAAAATAACTCAACTCCTCCATCAAAATGAAAACAACAGACAAGACAAATGACTTACACAACGCAAAACTCTCCTTTTAAATAATTAAACCCATGGTAAACAGTTATACACGGTCATCTTTGTTCTTGTATAATCAGTGTTTATTACTGTATGAAAGTCGAGGATTGGCAGTGATACAATTAACCAATTATGTCAAATTTAAACATTATTTGTAGTTCATGCGCAACATGACAACAAATGTAAATATAAATATAAAAAATCCACTTGTCACTTTCATTTTTAAGAGTATCAGTGAAAAGCACTCGTCAACGGAGTTTTAATTTGCCATTATGTTTATGAAAACAAAATAGAAAGTAAATTTAAGTTTTAATATTGTGTTGCAGTGAAATGTTTATTAGACCGGGTTAATCTTACCTCCCTTAACTTCCACATGTATGACACTGAGACAGAGCTGAACGTCACGGGACTGCAGTCAGAGAACAGATGACGAACAGGGGCTCCACTTTGTTCCCCTCACGAGTCTCATTGCTTCATCAGCAGGTCACGGATGTGTACGAGGACTCGGGACCCAAATGCAGACACTGAAACCGAACAGGTCGTAGAAACGAAACTTCACAGGTGTGTCAGCAGGTGGGCATGCTTTGTGAATGTGAAGAGATGAGCAGGTGGATGTGATCTTCCGTGAGAAAGAATGACAAATGAGAGAAAGAGAGAAAAAATGTCCAATGCCTGATCCACATTCAATTATGAACACCGGCTGGGAACGGACCTGCATGAAACTAACTGTACTCGTAATCTTACCGGAAACTCGACAAGTGGTATTTCAAAATAAATGTATAAAAGCACAGTACCACACATACAATGATAAACACCATGGGATGTTTTATTCCTCCAGGGCTGTCGAGGAGCTGAGGATGACTACAACTTCCTGAATTGAAAGCCAATTTAACAGACAAGGTTCTTTACATCCTATTTATATGACGTCATGCTTTGACATTTACAGAAGTGAAGGAGAACCAGCAAAGAGATTCAGCAAAGAGCACCAGCTAGACAACTTCAAGGTTGTAGTGATCTTTACATTCCTTTGCTCTGGACTAAATCTGCTCAGCATCTTGTTTGTTCTGTCATCTTTGTTAAATATCCTGTCATACAGTGTTCCTCATGTGCTATAACAATGGTGGTAATATTGTGTAATGTGTGTAACATACAGAAGACTGTAGCTTTTAAAATGAATGTTTACATCCAGGCATATAGCATATCAGGCCTACTTAGTATACATGCCCTTGCACTACTTGTAGGCTGGGTCTCAGTTACATAATTCACATATGACATATTCTCATTATGGATGAAGGCATATTCTTTGAAGTTGCATTTTTACAGACAATCTTCTGCTGCTTTTTAAAACAAGTATTCACATTTACATAAGCCAGACCCACGATTGTAACAATAAAACTATTTGTTTGTGTGTGTTGTACGTGGTTATTTTTGATGCATTGACTTGATTTCCTAGTCTCTGGGTATTTATAATGAGATCACAAGAGATACAATTGTATTGGAAAATCATATAATCATTATATGGCAGATCAAACTGATATATTTAATGAAGTAAACACACACACTTGCGACCAATTCACTCTGAGTTGTATTTTGAAAGTTTCCACCGGAAGTCTCCTCTTCATATTCTGGCTGGTTTGACGGGATTGGAGCGCAGAGCACCAGCAGCGGACCGTTCAGCCTCTCAGTGCGACGCGCTTCATTCAGTCCGAGCGCCACTTCTTCAGAAAAGTGATTTACGGAGAAACAAAAGTGAGCCGAACTTGACAAGCGACAAGTCGAGAACTCACAAGTCCGTTCTTTCTTTTTTATTTTTTCGTTTTCATCCTCAGTTACCTTGTTTATATATATATTTGTTTTTGTCCCGTCTACCTTTGGACACGGTGATGCGTGCCGGTGGTGCTCTCCGTACTGAAGGATACCTGCGGTGATGGGTCGGTCCGCGAGATGAGCAGCGGGCGGTGTGGGGGTGCCAGGGGCGCACGAGCAAGTCTGGACGCATAGGTAAAAGCTGGTTCTGTTGATGTTTTGCTCTGTTCATCTGTTCTCTCTCAGCTTTAGAGGAACAGTGTGTCTGCTGGCGGATACAACTTTCTGATGTACTATCCGAAGTAGATTCCTCCCTTTCTTCTTCCTCACACCATTGCATTCTGGAGGAGAGCGCACCCTCAACTTTTTGAGATGTTTCAGGAGCTATAGCGTGTATGTATCTGTGTGTGTGTGTGTGTGTGTGTGTGCGTGTGCACGCTCGCTCTCTTAGCTATACGTGAGTGCGCGATTGTCTTATCGCTAAGTCGTATTTAAAACTGCATGAACAGCAATCCGAGTTCACTGTGGTCTTTATTCATCATCTGTCCCCTTTATGCCATAGTGATCCATAACCCACGACACATACTTTCCTATGATTCATCCACCTGCCATACATTAATATGCACTGCTGATGATGTTTTAATCTCCCTAAACTCATTCAATGTTAAACAATTTAATTTCTCGGATATGTATATAATGTAATGCGAGTTATTTTTGAAACATTCTCTTCACTGCAGTATTATACATTTTTGTATTTTTCTTTCTGGAGCTGTAGTCACACAATACTTCCACTATATAGGCGGCCGTGTATGATTGTGTGTATGTGACAAATAAATGAGGTTTGATAATGTTGCTTGTTGATGTTCAGGACAGACACGTTGAGGTTGTTTGAGACATTGAGCTGATAAAAAAGGACAGAGCGCAGAATATGAATCCATAGATGTTGTGAATGATAGGCATGTCATCTCCGAAATTTAATTCTGAAAATGTTAGTATAAATATTTCTTCTTTTTGCCCTTTCTATCCCTCATTATTTCTCTCTCTCCATGTTCTTTTTTTCCATTTCCTGCAAAGTTATATGAATGCAAGTACAGCTTCTTATTGATGCAAATCACTTTGGTAGTTTTGTGGCTCCTACAACATGTGAGTAGTGTGATGTGAAGAGCTGCACACAGCAGGTTTCAGGATTCTGTTTGACGTGAACATGATTGCTGAATGATTGTTTTTGTCATCATAATACAACAGCGATTCTTTTGTCTGAAACTGGAGAAGATATTTTGCAATCTCAACAAACAATTTTCCTTTCTTCGTCCCGAAATGTCTTGTTATCGATGCGTCAGACTGCGCTGGGTGTATAATCAGCTAGAATCAGCACACATCTCTGCCGCTTTTTTTTTTTGCTGCTTACGTTTAACATCTGGACAGAATACTTATTATAGCCTAATGCAGCTGCAACCAGAGTCCCCGTGATATGCCTTGAGGGGCGGAGAGTGGCCCTGCAGTCATCATCAGTTAGTTCATATAGAGGCCACATACGACATAAATCAGTGTTATGTAAGGGAAGAATTGTGTGCATTTGGTTGCTGCTGTAATAAGATCTTATTACATCAAGATCATTCAATTAATATTCTGTGATTGTAGAGCTGCAACAATTACTCTATCAGCACGTTGATCAGCAGAACATTAATTTGCAACTATTTTGATAACCAATTCATCTTTTTCGCCTCTTTTTAATGCAAAAATGTCTAATTTCTAGCGTTGCAAATGTGCTGATTTGTTGCTTTGTCTCATATGATAATAAACAGAAAGTCTGGGACTGACTTTAAATTCAAACAAGCAGTCTGAACTGATCACTCAGGGTGAAGGAAACAATTAATCGAGGAAACAATCAGCAGATTAATTGATGATGAATATTAAGACTTGCAGATGTAGAAAAATAAATGTATATACAACTGTTAAACACATGCCCTCTATGGCTTACTGTAATTTCAGGGGGCGTATTCAGGGTCTTTGTATTTTTATGTATTATTTCACTAACAGGTTTCTCCTCAGAGAAGTTGACCTGGACTCTCGTTCCGAGCCGTTTGGAAATTGTCTTCTGCTTTTAAAAGGGGATGAGAGAGGCTGATGTGATTGGCCATTAGTGAAGCCTGTCTCACCAACAGTGTCTTCATCCCATCTGTCCTCATTCCAGACTCGCACCGTGCTCTTTCTCTCGCTCTGTGTTCTTTTGCCCCCTTCTGTGGCTTCTTTCACTCTCCAAGAAGTAATATAAGTCGTCCTGCCTGAGGGCTCCGTGGTTCCTTCAGACCACTCTTTTGTAATGCTATGAGGGCCGGAGATTTGATTTGCTCGGTAAGGACGGATCGGCGCACATATACAGGGAACATTCACAAAGAGCAGATATTGGTTCTCAGACGTTGGTCTTTAAACATGAAAGCAGGTGAAGTAAGCTCATTTTTCTTCCATTAACTTCCTCCCTCTGACACTATTGTCAAAAAATTTGAGGTTCCACTGATTCATCTTTTTTCAACCAATTGTTGTGAAACAAGACTGAGCAAGTCTCATCGAGCAGTACTGTGGACGGGGCCTGTGGGGGGCATTTTTGGAAGAAAGTGTCCATTAATAACATATTGGACTCTCTTTTACTTCTTGAAGATACTTCCTGCTCAATGAGAAACGTTGTTTTTGGCATAAAGTGATAGTTGAATCAACACACTATACATTATAGCAGACTACTTCTAGTTTACATTTACTACCACCTACATTGTAAGTGAAGAAGAATCGTATACGCTGCTCCCCTCTGTCTCTTCTTATATTGATTATTTGGCAAACTAAAAGGTCTGTAAACAGCTGTGGCTGCACGGTGGTGTGTCAGCACGGGTTCTCTCCGGGTTCTCCGGCTTCGTGCACGGTCCAAAGAAATGTAGTTTAGGTTAATTGATGACTCTTAATTGCCCGTATGTGTGAATGTGAGTGTGTTGTTCATTGTTGTTGAATGGTTGTCTGTCTATATATATATACTGTATGTATCGGCCCTGCAATAGTCTGGCGACCTGTCGGGTGTACCCTACCTCTCTTTGATCGCTCTGTTATTTATTCATTAGGGAGGATAGTCTCTCTCTCCTGCACGCTGCATCACTACACCAACACACAAACATGCATGAACATACAGTAAATGTGAAAACGCATACATTCAGTGGTAGCAGCAAAGTCATATATATGCAAAAATACTCTGATCAGGCCCCAAATCTTTACATTTCTATTCTGCTCACTGTTGTAAAACACATGAACGGAGGAGTTTAAATATAATGGCTGTCCTTCCCTTTTAACAATTTAAACCACATTATTCGACACTTTTTCACAAGCGATAAAAAACAAAGTGGTGTGACAGCGCAGCATGTTGAAAGTTGTGTTGCGTCTATGTGGGTGTTTTTCTAAGCATGCGTGTTGAGAGAAGGTCTGCTCTATAAACACAATTGTTTATTTAATCAACATTGACCCAGGCTGGTTTTTCTGACGCACGCTGCGGTCACACACATATAACAACACGCTGTCACGATCAGGCTTTGCCTTGTGTGTTCTGTGTGTGTTTTTCTGTAGCTCCTCACTCTACCTGTCAGCCACTCCCTCAGCACCAGTCTAACTCAGCCACTCCCTCAGCACCAGTCTAACTCAGCCACTCCCTCAGCACCGGTCTAACTCAGCCACTCCCTCAGCACCAGTCCAACTCAGCCACTCCCTCAGCACCGGTCCAACTCAGCCTCTCCCTCAGCACCGGTCTAACTCAGCCACTCCCTCAGCACCAGTCTAACTCAGCCACTCCCTCAGCACCAGTCCAACTCAGCCACTCCCTCAGCACCGGTCCAACTCAGCCTCTCCCTCAGCACCGGTCTAACTCAGCCACTCCCTCAGCACCAGTCTAACTCAGCCTCTCCCTCAGCACCGGTCTAACTCAGCCTCTCCCTCAGCACCGGTCTAACTCAGCCACTCCCTCAGCACCGGTCTAACTCAGCCACTCCCTCAGCACCGGTCTAACTCAGCCACTCCCTCAGCACCGGTCTAACTCAGCCACTCCTCATGTCCAACGCCAATGCTTTTAAAATTCCTGGCTTCTACAATATCTGCACATGGCGACTACAGTATGTTTAAACAGCCAGAAGTTACAGATCGATATTATAAATCATTTTGAGTTTAGAGGTTTCTGTCCTCCCTGATTCATTTAAGTCCACATCTCTCCTTTAGCTGCTAAATGCTCCACTATGTTCAGTAGCCACTCGCTAACTCTGTATATCTGTTGTTTGGAGCTGAGCAGGTAGAGTAAGGTGTGTTTTTAGAGCTTCTTAGCTGAAAACAGTTGCCTGCTGCAGTTGAATATAACACAACGAGAACGTTGAGAGTGAACCAAAGTTTCATGCAGGTGCCTGCAATGCCTCTGTCTGTGTTCTCATTGATGACTATCTGGATGAATCTAATCATCATGCTGCTCTGTGAGTTTCTCTGAGTGGCAGTGAAACTGAAAACCATGAATGAGTCCATCACATTCATTACGTGCGTGCGTCATCCTCCCTTTCTCCCTTTTCTCTGTTTCAGACTTCTCAGTGTTCCCGGCCTGCATCTAAATCTGTTATCTCAGTCATTTCACCCATTAATGTGAATAATACTTCCTTCGTACACCCTATCTGATAAGGGAGTCCGTTAAACACACTCCCTCTCTTGTCCTGCTGTATGTCTTTCTACCCCCCCCTTCCCTTTTATTCCACCATCTCCTCTCACTGTACATTAATCCCCGTGTACGCCACTACATCTCTTCCCCCTACACTCTCCCATTCCTTCTGCATACTCGCTCTCAAATTGCCCCAGTCTGGATGCCTCCATATTTTTCACTCTCTTTGTTGAAGCGTAAAATTGAACCTCTCCCACCTCTGCACTGAAGTGTGATCAGCTCATTCATTCTCCCCGAGTCCTCTCTTCACACCCTTGTGTGTGAGGAGAGAGGTGAATTACAAAACAGAAAAAGAGAAGAGAAAACGAACATATAGACAATCCAGGCAAATAAAAATATAACCAAGAAATGGATGATTTAATTTGACACTGGCTATTAAGTTTGTCACCAGATATCTTCAGCAGTTTGAGCTTAAGCTATCCAGTATCTCACTTGCTCCGAGGCTTTAGGGATGCTGCTGATCATCGTC